GAATAAACGGTTCTTTGCAGCTCAGCAGCTCTTTTCATTCTGTCATGAGTCTGGCGGCTCTTTCAGTGACTGTCAATTACACATGAAAGTCTTTTACTCTGTCAGGTAGAACCGGTCCAGATCCACGGTGCAGAGCTGCCACACATCCAACCAACGGGCTGTAAACGCTGCCAAATGGAGCTTCTGCAAAGTCTCGAATTAAGAATCTGAATAGAAATTTGCAAAACAGTTCTAGAAACACGCTTCCGCATTCTGGGTTATTCACTGTAGACTGGTGGAAAAAGGCAGTTTTGTGCTTTTATAACATAAATCTTCAACAGAAGAACCTGCACCACATCCCTCTGAACACCGATAAGGTCTGGAAGGAGCTGTCATTGTTTTCCAGCTGCAGAGCTTCAGCAGGAACACGATGAAACCACAAATATGAACCACAACAGAGATAAAAGTGACCCAGGAGTGGCTGCAGCTGAACGCACCACAGCATTAATCTGCACTGGATCTACTTGAAATTCACCAAAATGGAAAATAAAAGTTGCCGAGACCAAACCGATCGACGCTCCAGCGAGATAATTTCCTGTTTAACTGAACACAAACAGCTTTCAATTGGTTTTTAAGTGGACAAATTCAGCTGGCGTACTCGCTGTGGATGTCTTCTTCCCAATGTCACGTCTGTCTCCTCTTTCTTTTTTTTATTTTATTTTTAGAGCGAACAAAATCAAAAGCCAAAACTCCTCCATTTAATTAAATGATAATTTATCGTTTCGGTTCCCAGAAAGAAATAAATATAAAAAAAAGCCATGAAGCTGTTTTATCATCAGACTGGAAGCTGCAGAGGAAACGACACAAGCTGCTCATTTGCTTTCCCATAAAGTACAGTTTGGCTGTTTGTTTTGATGGAACCAATCAGATGTGACATCCAGAAATAACCAGGACAAATTATGATTACACAAACAGCCACGCTCGTGTTTGGACTGATATAATGGATTCTCTCACCCCCCGACCTCATCCTTAAAGCCGCTCTAATGAATATTCATATTAACGGCGGATCAGACGACGAGTTCGCTCAGACCGACCGACTCACAAACGCTCTGCCGCATCTTTTTTTATTCTGAATAAACCTCATTGCTCCTGTTGCACTGACTCCACAGGACGCAGACAGACGTTTGAAAACACTAAACGAAGCCACGAGCAGCAGGGAGGGTCGGCCGTTAGCTGGAGCCGCTAACGCGAGGCGGGATTTGGGAGTTATCCAGCTTTGTTTGGGCTTAATTCAGGCTATCTCGTGTTCTGCGTTGATGAGATTTCCAACATGCAAAGTGCAGCTTATTCGGTGTCGTTTTCTATCTTCGAGAATTACCTCAAATTACTTTTGCATCACGAAGCTGGCTCACTTTCCAGCAGGTTGCATCGCCATGGTAACCGATGCTGCACGGCGAAAATTAAAGCCAAACTTGCCAACAGCTCCACTGACCAATT